TTAAGAGGTCCTTGTATTCCCTTAGTGGCGCTTGGCTTGAGAGGACAGGCTTCCTCCTCACAACTATCTCTTCATAGCAAAGCAAAGCAAAGCAACTTTTGGGCCTGTTAAACTGCAGACTCCCAGGCCCCAGTGAGACCTATTGGATCAGAATTTACAATTTAACAAGAGGCCCAGATGAGTCCTATATATGTATAAGTATTCAGAGCCCTTTTCCACACCACTGATTCAACTTTGGAATTTTTAAAAGTATTTAATCATTCATTTGTTTTTAGCTTTTTATTTGAAATCCATTTCAAACTTAGAGAAGATTGCAAGAGTAGTAAAAAGGACTTCTAAATTTCCTACCCTTCCATGTTCCAATGTTAATCCTGTTAGCTTTGATCAGTTGTACAAGGTTTTAAAATTATTTTTAACATGACAGTTTTGTATGTTATTCATTAGCTGTTTTTTTAATTAATATTTTTAAACATCTTAAATAATGAAAATTGTCTCTGCATTTTATTTTTTATATATTTGAGTTTAGTTTTTTTCTTCTTCAAATTCCTCAGAGTATAAAGTTAGGTTATTAATTTGAGTTTTGGCTGTATTTTTTTTTTTTTTTTTTAGAGGTGTTTATAAGTTTACCGTTGTTACTATATTGTTATGTGTTGTGGAGTCGGTTCCGACTCATAGCAACCCTATACAGGGTTTCCAAGGCTGTAAACCTTTACAGGAGCAGAAAGCCTCATCTTTCTCCTGCCGAACAGCTGGTAGTTTCAAACTGCTGACCTTGAGGTTCTCAGTCCGATTCGTAACCACTATCCTACATAAGTTACTATTAAGTTTTGCACTGAGCACTGCCTTCACTACATCTCATAAGTTCGTGCATATTGTGGTTTTTGTTTTTAATTTTTGTTGTGACGTTTTTTTCCTTTGACCCATTGATTGTTTAAGAAGTATTGTTTAATTTCCACGTTAATAGGTTTTCCAGTTTTCCTTCTGTCGTTGATTTCTAGCTTTATTCCATTATGGTTGAAAAAAGATACTTTGCATAATTTGTCATTTCCAAATTTATTGATACTTGTTTTATAACCAAGTCTTCCCAGGAGAATGATCCTTGTACTCTTGAAAAAAAAAAGTATACCTTGCTGTTAATGAGTTAGAGTGTTGAGTCTGTTATGTCTAGTTGGTTTGTAATATTCAAGTTTTATAGTTACTTACTGAATTTTTTTGTTCACATGTCCTTTCCATTACTGAAACTAGTGTATAAAAGGCTACAACTGTGATTTTAGAATCATTTTTCCTTTCCAGTTCTGCTATGCTTATTTCATATACTTTGAGACTCTTAGGTACGTGTGTGTTCATACTTGTTATATCTTATGAATTAACCCTCTTATCATTATGTCTTTCTTTGTCTCTTGTAACAGTTTTTTACTTAGTCCTATTTTTTTCTGGTATTAGTATAGTCATTCCAGCTCTCTTTAGTTTACTATTGGCATTGAGTTGTCTTTTTCCACCCTATCACGTTTATTTTATTGTATCATTGATTTAAAATTATGGATAGCATATGGTTGAATCATGTTTTTAAATTCATTTGGCCAATTACTGTCTTTTGTTTGGAGAGTTTACTCCATTCAGATTTAAAGTAATCACTGATAAAGTAGTATTTACTACTGCCATTTTGCTATTTTATTTTCCATATACTTCAGACTTTTTTGTCTATCATTCCTTTACTGCCTTTTTCCATGTTTAGTTGATATTTTTGTAATGAACCTTTTTGATGTCTTTCTCCTTTGTGTGTTTGTGTATATATTTTTTGACTTGTTACAAGGAGAATTACAGTTAATGTGCTAAATTATAAGTACGTAGAATTGATGCCAACATAATTTCAGTAACATACAAAATCTCTGCTACTACACAGCTCCATTCCTTTAAATGTTGTTATAGATTACATCTTTGTATATTGTAGCCACAAAATAGAAATCAAAATAATCAAATGTTTGGGTTTTGTTTTGTTTTTAATTGCAAACTGAGTGATACTTCACATGGGAGAACATTGATTTTACACTTGTCCTCTCATTGCAATAAATATATTTTCCTCCGTGCATCATCACTCAACAGTATTTGCTTCTCTTCCCTCTGGGTATTTTTTTGGGGGGGGGGAGGTGTAATGGCCTTTTTTTTTTTTTTTTAATGTTTTATTGTGAATTATCTGATAGTTTACATGGGAGAACAGTAGCTTTACATTCATCCTATTGTATTTTGTTTCATTGCAATGATTACAGTCCCCTCAATGCATCATCAAACAACCAAAGGGTATACCCCACAAGCTTGCTCCCCAACCGACAATACACAGCCCCTCTCCTTCCCTGAGTCCAGAGTCCCCCAGCCACTCCATCTCTCCACATCATCGTCTCTGCCTCCATCTGTGACGTCACTGTTTCTCTGGGTCGGGTCCCCACACTCTGCTGTTCTCCCTTGATGGTCCTAGGGACCTTTGCTTCTGGGCTGCAAAATCAACCATGTCCCTCCTTTTGTTATAAAACATCTACTTTTACATTTCCAACCCTCACATTCAGTCCTGATAGCAACTATTCACTATTGTACCACAAAAGTCGTATCCCCATCTCCTTTCATCAGCCCTGTCCAGACAGATTAGAAACCACTCATTGGAGATTCTACCTTCCCCCACACCCTCTGGAATTAGGCTCCCTCTTGAAAGCTTGTAAGCCAGTCACTTCTTGCCTTTGTAGCACCCCCATTTTGGGTAGACAGTATCTAAGTTGCCCATCTCTGTCAACCATGCGTACCGAGGGGGTGGGAATGATCCTCACTGTAAAGATTTGTTCCCTCTTTTGAGCTACTTACTACATCCATAAGTATAGGTCAAGTTCATCATCAGCTAGTGTTTTGATAAATATTTTCTAGAACACTAAACCCACCCACTATGTAAATTCTGACTCATAGTGAACCCTTTATAAGGTTTCCAAAACTGTAAATATGTATGGGAGCAGACAGTCTAATCATTCTCCCACAGACCTTGTGGTTAGCAATTCAATGTCTAAGCCATAGCAACACCAGGACTCCTTGTAACTACATTTTAAAAAAGAAGAAAGCAAGGTAGAAAACAAAGCAACACACCTTTCCCAGTCTTTGCAGATAGACTATCTGTGGGACTCTCTTTCAACACTTTTAACACTTAGCCTTACATACACTGAGCTCAGGAATCAGCCTGAGGTGAAAGCTTAGGGTCATCCCCAGTCTTTTCAGAGCATGTACATGCCTTTCAGAATCCCCCCATAAACACAGGTCCTTTTGAGTGTACTAATTTCCCAAAGAAACTCTACCCTGATTTCCTCTTAGACTTTACAAGGTATTTTGCATAACTGTAAACTTTTGCCGTAGGTAGTTCAGGTTGTTTGTTCACCGTACAGTGTGTTGAACATTGTCCACTACTCTTCTAGTCTGTGTGAGGTTTGAGTTCAGTGAAACAGGCAAGCACCTTGCATCAGTCCTTCCGGTTAGACAGGTTACAGTAGATGTACACAGTGATGTGCAAATAGGGTTTGCTGTACTCCCTCAGGAGCCAGTAGGAAGTACCCTACACTTGGGGACACAGGCTGCTGTTGAGCCTAGGAGTAGGTGGGACAAGGACAAGTGAAAGCTTCACAGAACTTTGCTTCTGTTTTCAAGTTGCCTTTTTCTTCATTGATAATTACTTGGTTGTTGTATGCCTTTGATTATTTTACAGAATTCTATCAAAGATGGTCCTGCCAGATCATATTGTTGTTTGGTGTTTCTTTTGGGGCATGGGAGCTTGGAACTGTCTACTTCACCATTTTGTTTTAGGTTTATTTTTAAATATTAAAAAGTGAGTATTTGGATAGGTTGGGTGTAGGGGTGTCCAAAAGGTTTGTTGTTAAGTGCTGTCAAATCGGTTCCAACTCAGTGACCCTGTATTAGGTATCCCTGGTAGGTTTCAAAGCACCAACCTTGCCGCTAGCAGTCCTGTGTGCTAGTGCCATAGTAGTACCAAAAGGTAATAAAGGAATTTTTCATTTCTTTTTCCACAGTGATTTTATTTTTATTTTGTACATAAAGTTATTCAGGTTAACTTTCTTTTTAAAACTTCTATTTTGGAGTACCTTTTAACTGGAGTCCCTTTTAGAGGACTTCTTTATTTGTCGGGCTGCTAACCTCAAGGTTGACAGTTCGAAACTGCCAGCCATCCGATGCTCCCGTAAAGATTTACAGCTTCGGAAACCCTGTGCAGGGTCACTATGTGTTGAAACCAACTCCACGGTCTTTAACAGTTAACCCTCATTTCTTAAATTTTTTTCACATTCTCATTGGTCTAAGATTCAAAATTTTTCCCTGATACACCTAACACAGGCATCATAGTGAGAATCAATCAGTTGATGTTCCAGATTTCTAGGTGCTCTGTCATTCTTAGGTACACAGTGGCACCAAGACAGATTTCTGCACAGGTATTTTTCATTTAACAAGACACATTGGAGAAATTCCTTTTCACTGTAGAGAAAGATCCTGTTCCTTGTTAGGACTGCACAGTTGTGTATTGGGTCTGTAGGATGTTTGCTTTTGTTATTTACTATCATTAATGCTGCACTGAAGAAACTTGTATAAACTTCATGTTGCACATGTACAAAAAAAGTCTAGACATGGAATCTCTGGAACCAAGCATACGCTCATTAGCACTTTTGGTGGTTGTTGCCCAATTGTCTGCCATGGGAGTTGTATAGGTGTGCTGTCAGTGTGTGAGAGGGTCTATTCTCCACAGCCTCATCATCTTGCAAGGCATCTGCCATTTGGATTACACCGCATCAGATGGTATAAGGTGGATCCCTTAGCCAGAGCCATGAGCTTTCTCCTCATCCTGTGTGCACGGACTGCTGGGGCCTCTGTTTTCAGCTCTAGCTTGCCCCCCAGTCTTTGTTTGTAGCACCCTCTACTAGCCATTACTAGACTGAGGCATCCCTGTTGTTCTCCTGTGGTTTCAGAACCGGGTTTCTCCATTCAAGGACATGATCTTCTGCTTCTCTGAAGAGGACTGGTCTCTTCTAGATCCAGCCCAGACTGGCTTCTATGGAGAATTCATCATAGGGGAGGATTGTGGGGTCTCGCTGCCTCAGAGTAAGAGTTATCTCCCTGTCACCCAAGACCAGGGAGCTGAGGGTGGGGGAGGGCAGGTTTCTTGCCTGAATAAGAGTTAATGGCTCTCTCTCTAAGATCAGTGTATGGGGTGGGGGTGGGGGTCTTTGTCCTGCCAAGTAACAATTAAGCTCCCAAGTTAAGAGAGCTGGAGTTGGGGATGGGACTCTCAACTCCCTCCAAATCACAGGTAACTTCTGCTCCACAAGATCAGGGAATTCTGAGCATTTGTTACTCTGAATAATATTAACACGTACCCCCAAAGAGATGGGAAGGACGTTGTCTCACTGCCTCTGAGTAAGCATTAATTCCCTCTCCTCTGAGATCAGGAACTGTGAAGGGTCTCCTTCCAAGCATCTGTTAACTCTCTTTCCCTAGGGTTGTTAGGGATCTAGCTGCTTCTGAATAAGAGCTCTAACTCACCCAAGACTTGGGTGTTAGATTCACAAACTATTACCTTCCTCCCACCCTGATGGAGATTATCTTTGCCAAGTAGTCCACAGGCACTCTGCAGATAAATTGTAGCCTGCCACTTTACTAACCACACTTAAATCAGGCTTACCACAACACAAAACCAAATACAGAATGTTTTCCATGCATGGTTTTTACTATTGTCATACTTACCCTATAGTCTCTTTTCTGTTCTGGCTTTACAACTAATCAGCCTTAGAGAGAAACCCCAAGCCCACTGCAGCCCCTTCCTTGTCTTGCTCCACTCTTCTCAGTTCTCTGAAGCCCAGCATGACACCTGTTTGCCATTTCCTGCCTCCACCTTCTCTTTGCTGGACCTGACAGGAAGTTGCTGCACTCGGCCCACCCTAGGTACCTGTGAGAGAAGACTATTGATACATGCGTGTCCTTCCCTTTTCTGTGAGCAGACGACGCAGCTGCCCAGCCAGATCTCTTCCAGGGAGAGGAGAATGTGCCACGGGTTCCAGAACTGCAAGATCTCCAAGGGAAAGACATGACCCAAGTCTCCTATCTGGGTGAGTAAGGATCCCAGAACTGGGTAGACATGGGTGGGGGTTAGGGGAAGGCTACTGCTTTGCTAGACGGAAGCCCACTCCCTGCTGTCTCTAGCAAGAGAGTCCTTATAACAACCTAGGCTCTATCTTGATAGTACATGTCTCTCCTTGCCCCTGACTCCTAGCAGAAAGAATGTGAGAGCTTCATTTTGCCAAGGGTGGGGATTTTATTCTCTCAAACAGGAAGTAAAAGATAATAGAAATACCTTTTTCACCTAGTTTATGCTGAGGCTCCAGTGGTTCTTCTGTGGATAAAAACCAACCCTCACACTGAACCACGCCAAGGGAAGGGATTGCCTCCCCTTCACTGAGGGTACCTCCTTCCAGCTCTTCTGGGGTACAGTTCTACCCATCACACAGGAGCTGCTGCTGGGGACATGCTGAAGCTTGCCTGCCACCCCACACAACTCAGCAGCCACAGTCCCAGGCCTCATTCCCTGGATTTTGTGTAACCGGAACTTGTGTTTGTAACCACTGAGCAATCTGCCTTGAAGTATCAGCTCCTTCAGGGAATTATCTGTGGTGCAGAGTCTACAGTGCTTCCACATTTCTTTCCCTTTGGTGGAACCTAAAGCTGAAATGCAGTGGACCAGGTTTTGGCACACCGTGTCTGACTGGAATAGCAAAACAGCTACATTTGACGTGGTATGCATATCAGCCTGGAGCCTAGCTCAGTAGCTCTCCTTGCTTCAGGAATCTCAGGTGGAAAAGTTCATAGACCTGATAGAACCAGGATTTAGGTTTAGTTTTCCCCAACTTAAAACCCATATCCATGATGTCATCCTGTGAACATAGTTTGCTGAGTGATGGGCCATCAGGCATTGGGAACACTGCCCTCAAATCTTTCTAGTGTCTATGGTAATACTTCTAGATAGCACTGTCAAGTTGGAGGACAAATCATTTTGTTTTCCTTTTAAAAGACTTTCAGAATGTCCAGCCATTCCAGGTAGAAGAAAAACGGAAAAATGAGCTGCAGGTACCAGAATTCCAGACCTGCCAGCAGGCGGCACTTTCTCCAAGCACACATCCAGGTAGAGGAGTGACTGTGTTTTTGTGGGTGGTGCTGATGATGGTAGGAGGGGCTGGTGTAATTAGGAAACTATCCAAAAACCTAAAAAAAAACAAAAAAACACCCTGAAAGTTCACTTTGTCATAGTTTGTTTCACTAGGATGTCTCTCAGCCATCATATGGAGACATTTTCCTTCTTACCTTTTTCTTGTACACTGAGGCAGAATGCTCATGAAGTGTTCTTTGCTATGTACTGTGTATGTTTTTTTGTTTGTGCAAAAATATTAACAGACCATACTTCCCACTCTTTCTACTAATCTTTTTAAATCAATGATCCATTGCAGTGTATACACAGAACTCAGACACCATACTAACAGTTACGGGGCTTATTATGAAAGTTAACAGTTTACAATTCGTGATCAGAAATGCTCAGAGCACGGTTGTTCCAGTCAGCTGCTGATAAATGCCCATAGGACACACGACTCTGCCATAAGCTTTACCCTGAAGACACTCGGTTGTAGCTTTGTGGGTCAACAAACTTAGCTCCCCCACATAAATGCCTGGAGAAACCCCAAAGTCACTTAGTTTATCATGCTCCATGGACTTGGGAAGCCCTCTGCTCTGTCTCGTGCTCTGGCTCTTCATTCTGCTGCTGCTGCTCCTCTGCATTCCTCCAGTATCATAGCTTTATGCCCCTGGTTCAAGGAAGTTGAACGTGCAGGGATATCAGGACCCAAAGGACACGTTCCACTTGTGGTTCTTCTTTGATGGTAGTGAGCTCCTCCTACTTCTGAGATAATTCATTTTATACGCGTGCTAGAATCTCAAGTTTTTACAATTACAATGAACTTTGCTAACATCTACAGCTGAATCATGTCCTATCAGTACCGTCTCCTAATGTCTCTTACCTAGACTCATTAAGATAATTCACTACACCACAGTTTGTTGCTTTCCCTAAGTAAGGAAGGTCAGATTCCTAGTACAAAGTCTTGTAGTTAAAGAATTTGTGGAATGCCAGAGTTGAAAGGGAATTCTTGAGAGAGTATTCCGGTACTGCCTTAGGGGGATAGCTAAAATTTAAATTCCAAATCATCTTGGTAATACCCACCTCCAGATGCAAAACTGAAATAGAGCCATGGTTCTCTGATTTTTGTTTGATTGCCCTCATTGTGTCCTAGTGTGTTTTTGTAGCTCTGGGGATGGACTGCACACATTGTCTCTTTCACTTGTGTTACCTTTTGAAGGCAAGATTTGGGGATTATTTGCACCTGGCTCCATGCCCACCCCCAGCCATGTGTGCTTACCCTCTGGGCAAAGGGGATTTTACAGTGTGATACAGAAGAAAGACACCTCTCTCCTTAACTGTTCCCTAAGCCTGGCTTTCCTTCCTTCTGGCTTTCTCAAGCCAACTGATTCTGCATGCCACTAGCTAGTTAACATTTATATTTAGCTAGCTCTCAGTTTGGATGGATTCTTAATATTCACAATTCATTTTAAATCCTCTTTGGCTTCTGACTGCCTATGGGCATGCCTCTTCGCTGCTTCAACATATTTTTAGAAAGGAAATGCCTGTTGACAAAGGGGAGTTTCCAACTCTGTTCAACTTTACTGAGTCTACTCTGAAATGGCAAGAAGCCAAAGTCTGCTATCTGAATCAAAAGGCAGAAATGATAAGGCACAGTCATCACAGCACAAAGAAGGAGACCTGGGTAGTTTTTATCCCTACTGCCAAATTGCCTTCCAAAGAGGCACCCCACTTCCTGACCCCCACCCCCAACAAGCCTATGCTCCCTGAAGAATCCTGGTATGGCACTGGACCCCAAGGTCGGTTTGAACTGCAAGGTCAGTGGTTCAGACTACCAGTTGCTCCTCAGAAACCCCATACAGAGTCTCTATGAGTCAGAACCAACTCAACAGTACTTAACAATAGCATGCTCGCTGATGGCTTGTGGAGGACCTGCCTTCCCCACATCTGTGTTCACACAAGACATTCCCAGTCTATGGTTTCTGCCTGTCTCATGAGGGTATTATGATGTGTGACTCTCAGATGGAATATCTCTTTGTGTTTTCTCTTTGTGAGCTGTCTACTCAATATCCTTCTGTTCTTTCCCCTCACCCTATTTTTGTTTTAACCCTGCCCTTATCTGCAGGCAGCAGCTCGGCCCCTGACTAGACACTTGTTTCTGCTGGTACATGGCAGAACATAGTCACAGGCTCTGGTGACATCCCTAGTTGGGCTCAATTCCCCCAAGACCTTAGGCAACGTCATTTCTCTTCTTTAAATATAGAGTTACTGTTGAGGATTAAATGATTTAATGGTATCTTTAGAAGTACCAACAGTAATCTATGTTGTGTGTCATCCTAAGATCCATTCAGGGACTATTGTATGTTTAATGTTGAGCTCAGAACTCTTTGTGGTGGTGGTTCTTTTGTGAATATTTTTAGAATCCTTCTCATACATTTCCTCTCTTGAAGAAATTCCTCACATTGTAGTGTTGATGGCACACCACAACACTATGTGCCTCTATCCCTCCCCCTCTTAAAATCTTTTTTATCTATGTTTAGCATTTTTGACTGACTTGTCCATGGTGGGATGTTGTCCTATACATTTTTCTGACATCATAATTCAGTGTTCTCAATTAACAAAAGAGAGAACTTAGCTACCCATAATAACACCTGTTTGTTTCTCCCTCCACCAAGATCCAGTAAAGGTAAACAGAAGCAAATTGTCTATTTAAAAGCAGGTGACAACATTTTAATACTACCTTCTTCCCATATGCCCCATGAAGTGCTCTCACATACAAGGCTTCTTTGCACCACCAGTATCATGGACGGCTGGGGTGGGTAGATGTACTCATCCTATAGATGAGTCAGTAGGGACTTGGAGAAGCCATCTTCCTGGAACCGCAGTTAAAAACAGATTAATGCACAGGAGGCATAACTGACACTAAGTGCTTTCATCCCTGCATCCAGCAGTTTTTCCCTTGCAATCTCTCTTCTCACACCCCAGTCTCACCTCCCCAACTCCTACCACCTTAATTTTCTGACTGACTCATATAAATGCCTGCTGGTCTCTGCTGCCTCCTTTATTCCGCCTGCCCTCTGTAGCTTCTGGCTTTCACTCTCTGTCCTGTTGTTTCTCCTACCTCTCCACATGGAACCAACTACTCCATCACAAAGGAACAATCAGTGCCCCCCCCCCCATCCACTACTTTTCTAACCAGCCTGAACCTTCCCTCCAACACTGAAGGGTAATGCACTGGACCATAAGGTTCAGTTTGAACCACAAAATTTGCCATTCAAACCCACCAGCTGGTTCTTGGAAACCCTATACAGAGTTGCTATGAGTCAGAACCGACTTGACAACACTTAACAGCAACCACATGACTAGCTAATGTCTGAAAGGATCCAGTATCCCACCATTCAAAATTGAAAAGTACGTGCTGGACTCTTGAGCTGCATCCAACTCAATGTATCTCCTCCTTTTCCACCTGCTGCACCATTTTTCCACATTAACATATATAAGATCCATTGAGCCAGTTTCTTTGTAAGTGGGAATTTCCTTCTGTAACCCCTAAAGAGAGACCATCTAAATTATAAAATTTGGAACATCTGTATCCAGTGGCCATGGTGGGACATTTAAGAAAAAGAGAGCATGGTAGACGCAAAGTGGCCTTCGGCAGTCTGCAACCTTTGAACAGCTTTGATGTTGGACAGCACAGCAGGCCTAGAATTCTTCTATCTGTGACCTTGGCTACATCATTTTTGTTGGTTTATGTGTATAATGCAACAGATAACTTGTCTTTGCGTTGTTCCTTGGAGCAAAAGAGACCATGCATGTCAGAGTCAGAGCTTAAAGGAGTCTCACTGACTAGAACAAAGGATTGCGTGTGGAACTTAGGAATGGGTCAGGGAAGAGGTGGAGAGAAAAGAAAGAAGCCCCTAGGTTGACCACTCTGATCCTTTTTTAAGGGTTTTCTTCTCAGTCCAGACAAGGGTCCCTGAAGGACTGACCTTGCACTTCAGTCTCCTGGAGAGCATTCTAAGGTTTCTCCACCCAAAGTCAGGCCTCCTAGGTAGGATTCTCAAGGGGTGGGGAAGTAACCTGGTTTGGTGCCACTGATGTCAGTGTTGATTTTCCCTTAGCAGGTGGCAGTATGCTGCCCCCAGAGAATGGCCTTGCTGAGGAGGTATCCATCGAGATCGTCCTGTCTAGCTCAGGGGAGGAGGACTCTCAGCACAGCCCATACTGCCCTGATCAGCCACAGGGTTCCACAGAGAAGCAGCCTGTCCTTCCCACCAGCCACAGGAGCAACCCTGTGGGCTTCACAGATGTGGGAAGTGAGGTCCAGTCCTCCTCCAAGAAGTCCTACGTCTGCCCCAACTGTGGGAAAATCTTCCGCTGGAGAGTGAACTTCATCAGGCACCTGAGGAGCCGTAAGGAGCAGGAGCAACCCCATGCATGTTCAATCTGCGGAAAGGTGTTCAGCGACAGTGAGGACCTGGATGGACACCTGGAGACGCACGAGACCCAGAAGCCTTACACGTGCAGTGCCTGTGGGAAGAGCTTCCGCCTCAACTCCCATTTACTCTCCCACATGCGGATACACTTGCAGTCAGACAAACTGGAGCCCACAGAGAAGAAGGAGCCAGGGCCATCAGAACACAAGGACAACAGCCCTAACTCCCTGCTGGAGAAGAACAAGGGCAAGTTGAGCTTCAAGTGCTGTGACTGCGGGAAGGTTTTTCAGCGGCACGACCAACTCGTCCGGCACAGGAGCAACATCCACACAAAGGACAAGGCCAGCACCTTTCAGTGTCGGTACTGCGTCAAAAGTTTCCTGCAGAATTATGACCTCATCCGCCATGAGCGATTACACATGAAAAAACGCTCTAAGCAGGCTTTGAACTCTTATTGACTGCTCCCTCTGGTTTCACCATTGGTGCATCCCTGTCCTGCCCAGCTCCAGACAGTATGTCTTCACTCGTTCACAGTGGTACTGACTAGCCCCTACCCCATGACACACCTTCCCAAGGAGACCACCCACATTCCCTTTGCTCTCAGGTAATGTCTACCTTTTGCCTGATGTCACAGCAATCCCCCAATAATGAGAGTGGCCAATTGAGTATTTTTCTGCCACTTGTGCCAAAAAGCAGGGAGGGCATGTCACCACCAGCTTCACTGACTCAGTGACTGGACCAGCCCAGTGTTAACTGTGTCTTAGAACAGATCCTGCCAAGTACACAGAGCTACTGGAGTGTACTGGGCAGGCAGGCCCCCATCACCCATCAAACCCTTTCCCCAGGGCATCTGCCCTTTGCCAATCAGCTCTATGTACTACCTCCCATCATCCCTTTGTGTTTGACAGTGAAAAGTCTACTGGGTGATGAGTTAGAAGAAAGGCAGTAACTAATGCAGGGTGGTGATATCAGGAAGAGTGGGGCAAGCTGAGCTACGCAGTGTCATCTGCAGTCTGCGCTCCAGGTTGCTATCGATCCTTTTGTGTCCCTGGATATGCTAACTATGTATATCATGGCCCTAGTGGCAGGCAGGCCTTGATTAGGGACACTAGAGCCCCTTGCAGAGTGGAACCCATATTCAGACCTTTTGATTTGCCTTGACCACCAATTCATAGGGATCGTGAGCTCCTCAAGGTAAAGCTCATACTTTAAACTTTATGTAGCACACCTTCCCCCAAAATGCCTTTACTCTGAACCCCGAAAGTCTTTAGTAAATGCTTATGGAGTGGAAGTTGAGCCGTCGTAATTTAAAAGGCATTTAAGTTCCTCCTCTTCGTCATCTCACTCTTTCTTAAGAATGGGGTGCTCAGGCAATACACTGAGGGTTATTTGGTCAGGATGAACTGAACAGATCTCTCCAAAGAGGGAAGGAGAACCTTCTGTGGGAGTCACGTTTTACGTAGGTACTAACTTAACATGCCAAATCATCCTGAAATTCCACTGTTATCCTTGATTCTCAATGAGTCAGTGAAAACCTCCTTACCCATTATTAAATCGAAGCCCAGGATTTTAACACTTAGCTAAAATCCTGGGCTTCGATTTAATAATGGGCAAGCTAAGTTACTTAGTGTCTGCTTGCTGGACTAACGTCCTCAGCACAGAAGTATCTTTTGTTGAGAATAGACACAGCAAAACATACACCAGTTCAGCTGTTTTTACATGTATAAGTCAGTGACAATGATTACATTCTTTGACTTGTACAACCATTTCTACCTTCTTTTTCTGAGTTGTTCCTCCCCCATTAACAAATCAACTCTGTCAAGTTCTATTGTTTGTTTGATCCCATATAGATAAATCTTAAAGATAACAGTGTTCAAGTTCTGCATGGAAGAATCTTAAACATTATTAGCCTTTAAAGATTCTGAACTGGGAGTAACTGTTTATAGTGAAATCCTAAGCAGTCATGCCACCTCATACTATACATGGTCTTATTGTTTCTGGGGTGAAGGGAGTTCCTGTGAGGCACAAACTGTTAAATATTTGACCTAGTAACTTAAAGGTTGGTGGTTCAAGCACACCCAGAGGAACATTGTAAAGACAAGTCTGGTGATCTTCTTCCAAAAGGTCACAGCCTTGAATATTCTATGGAGCACAGTACTACGCTGCACACACAGGGTCACCATGAGTCAGAGCAGACTCAATGACAATTGTTCCTGAAAGAATGATTTGCTGAAGGAGGCTCAGAAAGGAGACGCCTCTGGGCGATAGTATGCTTAGCTGTAGCTGGATTTGAAAGCCAGTAATTAAGCAAATATTTTTGTATAATTTGTATCTCAGATCCCACCCATGAACAGAAGGATAGGAAATGGGGTGTAAGGTGGTCCCTTGCTCCTTGTTATCCACAGATTTTTTTATGATTTCAGTTTTCAAGAAGCCCCTGCCCTAACCCTAATGAAGGAATTTTATAACTACACTTGCTGTACTTGTGTAATGTGCCTACACAAACAGTAAATGCAATAAAACCATTTGGTCATTCATTGAACAAAAAATAAACTATTGGGGTGCTGAGTTTCTAAACAGTTTGCCTTTTGTATTGATCTGCTTAAAAATGGGAGAAAACTTAAGGTCAAGGGAATCTTAAATGGAAGCAAGGTTTGTATACAGATCCCTTTGCGCTCTTTTCTAAAGCTCCTTTTGATGGTGGTGGTTTTGACTCATTGACCCTGTATAGGGTTTCAGAGGCTGTAAACCTTTATAGGGAGCAGAAAGCCTCATCTTCCTCCTATGGAGCAGCTGGTAGATTCAAATTGCCGGCCTTGCTGTTAGCTGCTTAACTTGTAACCCAGGGCTCTTTGAGCCTCCATGTGCTTGGGGAGGTACTGACTCCTCAGAATGGTCCACAAAAAGTGCTATTACTCATAAATGCTTTTTACATGTTAAGTAAGATCATAAATAAAAAATGAAAGGAATGTAAAGGAACAAATCAAAGAGGCTTTGAGTCCCTACCAGATGTTCTAAGGGTGGTTCTCTTCACTGTTCCAAAGTTCACTTATCCAATGCCACCATCATGTGGTACTTTTAAAATTGCCTTTGTATTTGGAAACCTTCCTGGGCCATGTAGGTCAGATCCCAATTACTCACAGCAGCATAAACTGCTTAGGTCATCTACTGGGAAAAGTTCCACCAGTGCTCCAACTCAAACACCCCTCCCCCAAATGTGGCCTCAGCCCAGAAGGAGTAACCTCTTATCCTTCCCTCTCTCCCCCATCACAGGGGTTGGGCAAGTAGGTGAAAGATTTCCCATCCTTGCCAGGGAGCTTCAAAGGACATACATCTGAGAAAAACACTTCCTCCTTTTTACTCCAATCCCTTGGCCTTGTTTCCACAAATATTTGAGACTAAGTCAATATTCAGAGTTTTAATTTTAATCTAAGAAATAACCAGATGAAGTCCAGCAGAGAGCTGACAAGTACCTGAGAAGGAAAGCTTGAAGCTCAGGATGCTGAAAGGGTACTCCTCTGGATTTCATACATTGCCTTGTGAGATTGTTAGACCCTTCACAGTACTGGTCCTGTGGTCTGACTTACCAGAGGAGAGAGGACCTACCTTCTCATAACAGCTGGGGTAGAGACAACACAGTTGTTTAACTGATTCCTGGCCATTTCTTTATATTTTTCCCCTCTCCTCAACTCATTCACATTGAAAAAAATTTTTAAATATTAGACAGTGGTGAAAAGGTCTCTTATCAGTCACACAATGAAGTAAGTGGAAGGGAGCTGAACCAGATTCAAGCATACTTAAGTGCAAGTTTGCAAAGATGTGATGTAAATCACTCTTCACCCATGAATGGGTTTTCCTCCTCTGCCAAAAGTAGAGCCTGGGCTAAGAACTGAGCGCTTCTGCTTACAAAATTACATAAGAGATTTAAATATGTCATCAATTATCATTGATGATTGAAATATGAAAGTTGGAAACAGAAGAATCAGTAGTTTGAAAATATGGCCGTGGTGACAGAAATGACACTGGAGATTATCTGATAAAATTTTGTAAAACCAATGAGCCATTCTCTTTGGAAATACTGTTTTTCAACAAAATAAACAGCAACTTACATGTGGACCTTGCTGGATGGAATACACAGAAATCAATTTGACTACATCTGTGGAAAGAGACAATGCAAAAGCTCAATATCATCAGTTAGAACAAGGCCAGAGACTACATAATAGACCGTCAATTGCTCATGTTCAAGTTGAAAAAACAACCACAGGAGCCACAGTACACACTTGAGTATTGTTAAGTGTTTTTGAGTCAGTTCTGACACTGTTCCTGTTTAGGGCTTCTGGAAGTCCTAGTATGGTGCTGTGGGACAAAGCATTGGACTGACTGCAAGGTCAGTTTGAACTACAAAGTGAGCAGTTCAAACTCATCACTCACTCTTTGGAAACCCTATACAGTGTGGCTATGAGTCAGAAACACTGGCACTTAATTACAGCAACATAGGGTTTCCAGGGAGCAGATGGTAGATTTGAACTATTAACCTTGCAGTTAGCAGTCCAGTACTTACTTACTCTACAGCGCAGCACCAGATGTTCTTGAGTGTATCCCACTTGAATTTAGAGACTGTCTCAAGAACAGACTTGATACATTGAACACATGAGTGAAGACCAGACAAGTTATAGAATGACATCAAGGAGGGTATCATACATGAAGAAAGCAAAGATCATTAAAGAGACAGGAGAAGAAATGACCAAAATGAAAGTCAGAAGAGACTTTGAAATTTGCTCTTGAACATAAAGTAGCTAAAGTCAATGGAAGAAATGATGAAGTAAAAGAGCTGAACAGAAATGTTCAAAGTGCAGGTCGAGAAGACTAAAGTATGGAAACTATCATAAAGAAATGTGCAAAGACCTGAAGTTAGAAAACCAAAAGGGAAGATAGCATTTCTCAAGGCTTTGTACATGTAATTAAGAATCTTGAGATCATCTGGATTTAGGGTGGACTATAAATCCAAGGACTTTATAAGAGAATAAGGGAGATGTTTTTGTTTTTTTCTCTCTTGATGGTCCCAGGGTCCTCCTCTCCTTTTGTTATAAAACATCTAGCTTTGCATTTGCAACACTCTCAATCAGTCCTGATAGCAATTATTCACTATTGAACCACAAGAGTCTTATCCCCATCTTTGACCAACCCCACCGGAACACGTTGGAAACCACTCAGTGAAGATTCTACCTTCCCCTGTACCCTCTGGAACTAGACTCCCTCTTGAAAGCTTGTAAGCTGGTCACTTGCCTGTGTAGCCCCCCTCATTTTGGGTAGCTAATGTCTAAATTCTCCATCCCTGTCAACCCTTTGTACTGAGGGAGTGAGAATGATCCTTGCTGTAAAGATTTGTTCCCTCTCTTGAGCTACTAATTCCATAAGTATTGGTCAAGTTCATCAAATTGTAGCAAACTACTCTTTT